GAAAGAGAGATGAAAACATCAATAATAAAAGAGAGTCATTGATCGGCTGCCTCCTGCACGCCCCACACTGGGGATGGAGCCCACACCCGGGGCATGTGCCCTAACCGGAATCGAACCGTGACCTCCTGGTTCATAGGTCAACCCTCAACCACTGAGCCACACCGGTTGGACCTCCTCAGAACTTATTTTAAAATATGTTGGAGAAAAGATGCTCATGTTAGCACTGTAACATGATGATGAAGTAATAACTGGCCTGGAGTAACAGGTCAGGGCAGCTGTTGTGTGGTTTACTGTAGCTGCTGTGAATGAGGACAGGAAACTTTATCCATAACACAAAAAGAACATGGAATCCGTTAACTATGCCTGATTTTAAACAGGCTTTCTTTGGAAAGAAGCAGTTAGTTACACAACATTTCATGACTTAAAAGGGTTTCAACCCAGGTTAAAAAAATACCCAAGTACTTTTTCCTGAGGGCAGAGTGGACTTAGAAAACATTCAGTCCTGCACTTCTGTTTTGCTTTTGTTTCTTTAATCTTCACCCGAGGATATGTATTTATTGATTTTTACAGAGAGAAGAAGAGAGAGAGATCGAAAGAGAAATAGCGATCAGTTCCCTCCCACATCATGACCGTGAATCGAACCCAAAACCCGGGTATGTGTCCTGACCGGGAATTGAACCCGAAACCTTTTGGTATACAGGACGATGCTCCAACCAACTGAGCCACCCGGCCAGGGCGTCCTACACCCGGGTATGTGTCCTGACCGGGAATTGAACCCAGAACCTTTTGGTGTACAGGACCATCCTCCAACCAACTGAGCAACCCGGCCAGGGCGTCCTATACTTTTGAGGTTGAAATAATGGCAAACGCAAGTAAATAATCATTCATTCATCCAAAGCTACACAGTACTGTAAAGCTTGGACAGATTGTACTAGCAAGGAATTTACATGCATGAAACTGACAGTTGTAAACGAAATTCATCAGGCTTCACGTATATTTCTGGATCTGGATTCTGAAGTTTCAGATTCATGTGCTGTTGATCTGGAGCTTTCCAACTCACCCTTTTTAACTGCTGTATAATATTCCACCGCCTGCTCACATCATAGTTTCTTTTTGAAAATATATATTTTTAAATATATTTTATTGATTTTTTACAGAGAAGAAGGGAGAGAGATAGAGAGTTAGAAACATCAATGAGAGAGAGACATCGATCAGCTGCCTCCTGCACATCTCCTACTGGGGATGTGCCCGCAACCCAGGTACATGCCCTTGACCGGAATCGAACATGGGACCTTTCCCCACAGGCCAACCCATAAATATGTACTTTTCTACTTTTATTTAATTTTTTGATCTATTTTTATTGATTGCAGAGAGGAAGGGAGAAAGAGATAGAAACATCAATGATGAGAGAGAATCATGGATCGGCTGCCTCCTGCACACCCCACATTGGGGATCGAGCCCGCAACCCAGGCATGTGCCCTTGACTGGGAATCAAACAGTGACCTTGTTCTTCGGTCGATGCTCATCCGCTGAGCCAAGCCAGCCAGGCTAGTCGGTTTCTTATTGATAGAACTTCGGAATGTTTTCAGTTTTGGCCCAGGAGCGCTGGCATGCGCACAGTCGGCTAGATTTGGAGTGGTACGGTACCCTTGTGACCTTCAGGAAGGTTCTAAACACCCAGTATGGCCCAGCCAGCGTGGCTCAGTGGTTGAGCATCGACCTATGAACCAGGAGGTCACAGTTTGGTTCCCAGTCAGGGCACGTGCCCGGGTTGCGGGCTTGATCGCCAATGTGGGGCGTGCAGGAGGCAGCCGCTCAATGATTCTCTCATCATTGATGTTTCTGTCTCTATCCTGCTCCCTTCCTCTCTGAAATGAATAAAAATATATTTAAAAAATAAACACCCAGAATTATTCCTTCCCTCTCCCATCCCACCCTCACCTCACCCATTGGGGCCGATCCAGAGGGATCTCCTGGGAAAGGATTGGGTGCATAATGGGAGTCCACCCCGTACCCAGCCCTGCGTTCTTTTTGCTCTTGGTCTGTGCTTGCCGTAGAGCCTGGGCCTTAGACTGACTGAGGGATATCAGGGCACACATTCTGGAAAGTGGGGCCTGGGGCCTGGCTTGCTCCGGCCTGTGGCTCTTCAGGGGACCTGGGATCCAGGCTCTGTGGCCCAGGGGCACAGCCTCACTCACCACGGGGAGACCAACTGCATCCTCCCACTGGGCCTCTGTTTTGCACAGGGAGGGAGTGTAGCCTAATGGTTAGGGGGCTGGACTGAGGAATTGGACAGACCTGGGTTTTGGAGTCTCAGCTGCACCCTTTGCCAGCTGAAGAGATAGCTGGTGCTTAGATCTACGAAACAGGGCCAGTAGAATGTTGACAAGTGTGGCAGGGACTTGTACTTGTCCACACAGCATGTGGTCCAGCCTCTACTCTTCTCTCTTCCTTAATAACAGGAGTCTGTATTGTGGACGGTTACATGTCCAGCTAAAAGCCTACAGTTCTCCCGGCCACAGTGGCTCAGTGGTTGAGCATCAACCTATGAACCAGGAGGTCGAGATTCAATTCCCAGTCACGGCACATGCCCAGGTTGCAGGCTCCATCCCCAGTGTGGGGTGTGCAGGAGGCAGCCGATCGATCATTCTCATGATTGATGTTTCTGTCTCTCCCCTCTCCCATTCTCTCTGAAATCAATAAACATAAATTTAAAAAAAAAAAGCCCCTACAGTTCCCAGCCTCCCTTGCAGATGGAATGGCCAATGAAAGGTTGGCGGAAGTATTGAATGAGGCTTTGAGGAAAGCGCTTTAAGCAGGGAGGTATCCTCCTGTGGCTCTAACCACTTGCATTTTCTGGAAAATAGGTGTGATGGCTGGAGCTCCAGCAACCATGTTGTGACCCGGAGGCAATCTCAAGGACAGAAGTCACGCACTGAGTGTGGTGGAGCAGAAAGAAGCCCGAGGCATCAGGGACGACAGGAAAGTGCCACACTAGCCCTGGACTGTCTACCCGTGAGTTTTTTTAATGTGCAAGAAAATGAATCACCATCTTGTTTTTTCATTGATTTCAGAGAGGAAGGGAGAGAGCAATAGAAACATCAATGATGGGAGAGAATCATTGATCGGCTGCCTCCTGCACGCCCCGCACAGGGGATCGAGCCTGCAACTCGGGCATGTGCCCTGATCGGGAATGGAACCGTGACCTCCTGGTTCATAGGTCAACGCTCAACCACTGAGCCACACCGGCCGGGCCCCACCATTGTGTTCAAGTCGTTGTCATTTTGGGTGCGTGCAATGAGCAGCCAGACACCGTTCCTGTCTGCCTGATGAAGACGCTCCTAGGGTAGCCTCGTGAACATGGGGGCCATGTGAGCTGGATGACAGTTTAGTGGATTCATCACAGTTTCCTTGTCCCCACAGATGAATGGGCGGATGTTTCCCTGGAGGAAGGTCTCTCGTGTTGTGCCGCCAGCTCTGTTCCCAGTCTTGTCCGGGACAGCCTATGGTCTTGAATGAAGATACAAACGGACCTCATGTAGGGTAAGAGCCAAACCCGAGGCGTGAACTGGGTAACAGCCAGGATCTAAGTGATCCCGACAGGCTGGAAGCAGCATCAGATCTAACTCGGTGGCATCAACGGCGCCCTGTGTGCCCCCGTCTAAGCCCAGGGTCGGGGGGCTCCGTGTCACCAGCTGCATGTTCGGAAAGGGCACGGAAGTCATTGCCTTCCAGACTTCGAGGGCACGAGAAGCAGATGTGATCCCCTTCCCGATCAGGACCGGCAAGGTCTTCCACCACGGAGGCTGGTCTCAGCCTGGGGGCCACAGCTCATGAGGGACGGGGACAAACGCAGGGGAGAGCGGCTGGCGAGGGGGCTTGGAGCCAGGTCGCTAGAAAAATTGCTAAAGGCCTCGGTGCTTTGTCCAAAAAAGAAAAAGTAGGCGATGGGATGTCTCCAGGCGGCTGGAGGGGAATACTCCCGGGAGGGTGAAGAACTCTCCAAGGTCAGAGGGACTGTCTGGGAGTGAGTGGCCCGTCCCTGGAGGTGACCAAGGAAAGGCCAGACGCCTGCTCGGTAGGCCCAGTGCAGTGGGAGGCTGGTCCTGCCCCTGCCCACCTGACAGGCTCCACCGGCAGGGAGTTGGACCTGACGACCCTGAGATCCTTTTTATTTTTTTATATTTTTATTGATTTCAGAGAGGAAGAGAGAGAGAGAAACATCCATGATGAGAGAGAATCATGGATGGGCTGCCTCTAGCACATCCTACCCTGGGGATCGAGCCCGCAACCCGGGCACGTGCCCTGACCGGAATCGAACCGTGACCACCTGGTTCATAGGTCGACGCTCAACCACTGAGCCACACCATCAGGCCTGAGGTCCTTTTAGAGCTGAAGCCCAGAAGCAGGAGAGGAGGGGGATGCTGCCTTGGGCTCTGGGCAGTGTCGCTGAGGGAGCCACAGGGCGCTTCAGGGGCCTCACAGGTGCCCTGGCGCTGGGAACACCCCCCGGCCAGCTCTCCTCGGAGCCCGAAGCTGTGGCTCAGCCGGGCCCGCTCTGGGCCTGGAACCACAGCCACCTCCAGCTTTGGCTGAGCTGGTCCGCGTGGCTGCAGTCGGCTGGGCGCCGTGAGGCCGGCAGTGCCCAGCTCAGTGCACCTATTATGTAGGTGAGGACACTGACGCCTCGGTCCCATCATCCCCTGTGGGCTCCCCAGGACTTTGCCCCCGACCCGCAGTCAGATGAGAAGGGCTGTTGGGGGGTGTGGGGGGGCGGGGGCCGTGCCAGGCCTGGTCTCGGTGGCTCAGCGCAGGCCGCCCCGTTTGTTCTGCACCTGCTCTTTCTCCTGGGCGGGCATCCAGGGCCCCCAGGGGCAGGTCCAAGGCTGGGGGCAGGTTACAGCCTGGCCCCCGCCCCTAGGTCGTGGACCGGCTGTGGGAACAGGGGAGGGAAGGCGGGAGGCCAGCGTGTGGGGCTGCGGGGCCATGTGGTATTCTCATTACCAGCCAGCAGTGGGGCCAGCCCAGCCGCCCCCTTGGCCACTGTGGCTGCCTTCACACCTCCGCTCGGCCTGTTGACACAACGCTGCCTCCCTCAGGGCACGAGGTGTCGCCTTGGGAACGAGGGTGTGCAGGGGCCTCCAAAACAGCCGGCAGCAGGCCCCTTTGGAATCCCTGGAGCGCACTTCTGGGGTGTGGGGGGGGGGGGCTGCAGGTCCCCACTCTGGGGGGCCCCGGGGAAAGGCAGATTCTATGTCCCCAGATGGCGAGGGAGGACACCCTGAGTCCGCCTGCCCAGATACTGTTTCTCCCCGGCCCAGGTGCTGTGTGTGACTCTGGGCACAGCCAGGGAAGCCCAATGACAAGGCTGTGCCAGGCAGAGCATCGTCGGGGTCACCGGGAGGCCCAGAGACTGACAGCCACCAGGACGAGGTCACAGAGCAGCTGCTGGAGCTGGAGCTCCCTGCCCCGGTCTTCCCAGGCCTTCTGTAACGTCAGTGCCCAGCGCTGCCTGCATAGCCATTCAGGGCGCAAACCCAGGACCTCAGCCCGCTGTTCTCCCCTTGCTCAGCTGGGAACCAGGCCCAGAGAGGCCCATCCTCTGCCTAAGGTCCCCAGAGCCAGGATTTGACCCCACAAGGGCCGCGCACCACACCACCGGGAAACTCCCCCCGGCCCGGGGCCCAGGCTGCAGCGGGGACCAGTCGCTGCCCACTGGGAGCTCGAGCCGGAGGAGAAAGAGGACCCAGTGGGCTCGGGGTCTGCGGTGGCCTGGTGTGCTGGGAGCCCGTGGGTGACAGACCTGCTCCCTGGCTAGTCAGCGGGGCGGGTTGCAGAAGGAAAGGAGGGGCCTGAAATTGTGGGGTTTCCTCCAGGCGGAGGTGGGACATTCCAGGCAGCAGGGAAAGGTGTGAGCCCAAGTCTGGGAGTGGAAGGCCCAGGGCAATGCCAAGGACGGGGATGGGGACGGGTGGAGAGGGTGTGGATGAGCAGACGAGAGCTGGAATTCCTGTTGGGTGCGGAGTTTGGACTCAGGGAGGCAATGAGTCCACAGAAATTCTGAGGAAGGAGGGAAGGATGTGGCCACTGTTGGCTGGAGAAGCACAGGGCAGCTGGCTGGGGGCCACAGGTACCCAGCAGGCAGGGCATGGAGGGAACCCCCCCTGCTCTCCCTCCAACAAGAAAGCTGAGCTGAGGAGGCTGGTGGTCCTGGTAGCCGCAGCTTAAGCCTAGAGCCAGCCTGCCTGGGCTCAATCCCCTTGAGCCTCAGTCTTATCATCTGTAAAATGGGTTTCTTTGCTGAGATGATTAGGGCTGGCACCATGTGTTCAGCTCGTGGCCCTCCACAAATCCTGCCTGCCGCCCTGCTGTCGAGGAGTGACCGTCCGAAGTCCTGCAGCTCATGGGAGGGACGAAGGGGAGAATGAGTGGTGCCCACTCTTGCTGGAATGCAAACAAGCGTGGGGGGTAGTTCTGCAAAGTCTCTCTCCGCTCTCCTTCCCCTCCTTCCCTTTTTTCTTTACATTACCAAAGCAAGGAATGCTGTTACAGAAAATTGAGATGAGCTCTAGCCGGCTTGGCTCAGTGGATAGAGCGTCAGCCTGCGGACTGAAGGGTCCCAGGTTCGATTCCAGTCAAGGGCACATGCCTGGGTTGCGGGCTTGATCCCTAGTGTGGGGCAAGCAGGAGGCAGCCAATCAATGATTCTCTCTCATGATAGATGTTCCTATTTTTCTATCCCTCTCTCTTCCTCTCTGCAATCAATAAAAATATATTTTATTTAAAATATAAGTTTTATCATTTGTAAAACTTTCAGTGATATTTTTGAAATATATAAAGATTTTAAAATAAACTCTGACACATAGTAGTTCTGAAATAAATATTTATTTTACCTCTTCCTTTCCAGTGTTTCTGGGAGGAATAGTTGGAAAGTGACCAGGTAATTTAAAATAGTATAACCTACAGCTGAAAATTTTCTTCTTTCATCTCATACAACAAAAG